ATTGTGTATCACATGTATATCCATGTATACCTGTGTGTGAGATACATGCGTGATACATGTCTGATACATGTGTCGCAGAAGACTTTTTTGAACTCGATTTAATTACGAATTTTGATGCAAAACCAGTCCAAATCACCTTCAATCTTCCTCAAATTTTGTATATTGACTTATCTATATATTTTCAATGAATTTCAACTATACCCGTTGAAAAAATTCCTTTTTTGCTTAGATTTTTGGAATATTGTATATATTTTTGTATTTCATCACCTTATTTGCTACTCCGTCCATGAAATTTCCTTTCCGTCTTGTATCTAATGTTGCTAATCACGCTTAAAAATATGGAAGGTGATTTTTGCATGTGATTCTTTGAAAGAAAGAACCTTATTATTTGGTGTTTCAATTTTTGTTGGCTTGTTTTGGTAAGTTTATGACTAATGACTAGAGGTTGGTAAGTTGAGATTTATTTGGGACATTTTTATAAGTTTCCCTATTTTTAAACTCTTTCTAATAGTACAGGCCCATACTTGATCCTTTTCCTTTTTACATATTGTGCAAACATAATTCGCTTTCAATTATAATTAACATTAGAAGTCTTTTTTGCCTTTTTTCTAATAAAAAATTGGGGTGCGAGCTAATGAAGTGCTTGTTTGTCTAGCTTTAGTAAGTTTCTTGCCTATTCACTCTCAAATTTGAATAATAATTAAACTTATATTATGGTTTTAGGATATGTAATTTCGTCCAATACCAATTAATAAGCAAGAAAATAAATGAATAAATTAGAGAATAAAATAAATTAAACCAGTATGCTAGCCAGGTTTCGACCTCGACTTGGAGTAGTCTCGAGGTGGGATAGTAAGAATAGTAAATGATAAAACAACTCTGATGAACAGTAAGTGAAATAGCAGGAAAATAATGAATGTATATATTCTTATAAGTGAACAATGAATCCTTACAATGAATGGGATCCCTCTTTATATAATAGAGGAATCCTAAATAAGGTACACTTCTAATTATAGGAAACCATATTACCATCTGATTAACTGTCGTGGATTGATCCGTTCCGAGATTCACGCCACGATCCTGGACCAATCGCGGATATCTTGCCTTTTCTCTTATCAAGCTATACCGATGTCACTCGGAGTCTGTCTCTCTCCGGCCACGATTGACGTCGACCTCGGTCCGAAAAGAGGCTTTGATTCTGGACTCGACGTCCTAGCTCCTTGACGCGACATTCCCACCTCGACCAAAGAATGAAATCGGGTAGCCCCGATTTCTACCGTACACAGATAGTCTCCTTGTTTCTTAGAGTAAAATAATAAGAAATGACTTGAGCCTTGATTTTCCGGAGACCCCGATAATGATGTCATCCCCGTGACGTAAGCGATTGAGGCGATCGAAATGTCCCGTCAGTATAGTTCCCCAAACCATTAATGCATGTCAGTGGACGGTCGGCCACTAGCACCACCGAGCTGTTGCGGTAAATCTATAAATATAGGCTCTATCAAAATTTTACTTTCACCTCAACCAAGTATTCTAGGTTTCTTACTCTCTTCATCTCTTCTCTTTCACCACCCGTTGAGTCGACTTTGTTGGTATTAAGAACACCAATTTTTACCTCTTTCCGCTTCCTTCTACCTGAATTAATGGCGAAAACCTCCCACTACAATATTTTAGGCCTACAACCACCCCTGAGAAGTGTGGCCTAAGATGCCAAGAAGTGTAGCGTTTGGGCAAAGGCAACACTTTACGACTTTAGGCAACGCTTTTTCGGGGGTGGCCTAAAGTACCGTAACCTTTGACTATTGGCCACGCTTTGTAGGTGTTGCCTTAGAAGCCATGCTTTAAAAGTGTGGCCGATACGGTACAAAGGCCACACTTATATTTTCTCATATAGCCACGCTTTTATGACATAAGGCTACACTTATGAAGCGTGATCTTTGTCACGTTAAAGGCTACGCTTACAAAGTGTGGCTTCTAGAGCAACATGACAATCCCTATGGCCACCCTTTTTAAGCGTGGCGATTTTGTCTACACTACAAAATTATTTTTCAAATACTTATATTAGCCACAATTTTGTGGTTAAAAAACTATATTTGTTTGCATCAAATTCTGTTCTCACACACATATATATCTCAAGCATTAAATTAGATAATAAGTAATAGAATAATAATAATTCAAATGCATATACTTAAAATAAATTTCAACAAAGAAACATACTTTGTGTACTGTCAATAGTAATAAAGCACTGTTGGTTTAAGAGTTCACTAGCAAAGACCTCTACAAAACCAAATGTATTCATATTTATAGAATCAATAAAAATAAACATCCCAATTGTTCAAAAGGTCTTCACCATTCACTTTAATGAATCAAATTGATTTGTGACAACCATATCCAATTGCATCATCCGTATTTTCCTACACATTCAAAATAAAATTAAAAATTAGGAAGAAACATATATATAGTATACACCGGAGAAATCATGATTTTGTAAGTTAAGATTGAGGTAATTTTTGAAATTGGGAAATATAATTACCTTTTCAAGATTTGAGGCGTGAGTTGAGCCAGATGAATTTGGTAGATTTTGGCCTCTCATAGCTCGTGCACTACTTGCATCAACTGGTGAATGAATATTAGATCCAACACACCCTTGTATATCATGAAAATCGAGTCCAGGGTTGTTTTTCACCATTTGACTAAAAAAACATCGCATTTTTTCTCTCATCATTTCCTTCATTTCTTCCTTCAGAGAAGTTATTTCATCGGCATGCTTTTGTTTAAGCTTGGTGATTTCTTCATCTTTTTTCGGAGAGCTTGTCATCACCGATCTACCATAGCATCTAACCCGACCAGGCTGCTCCTTTTCAAATACAGCCCTAAATGCATCATCTGCTGTTTCTCTGGAACTTTGACGATTGTGAAGTTCAGACTGTCAAAAAAAATATTATTGCACATCACTTACAAGTCAAGATAGAACGAACACTAATGTGCACAAATCAGATTAGCAGTGCAGAGATTCTACAAAATGTGCACAAATCAGATGTGCTCACAAATCAGATGTGCAAAATGGCAAAATGAGGCCAAATCAGATTCTACAAAATGTGCACAAATCTTCTGTGCATGAGAATGAGGCCACGCATCTGTTAGAATCAGGTTCTCAAGTTGTGAATCAATTAAATGATCGAGAGTGGATAAAGGTAACTCGATCTCATCCATCACTTAATAAAAAGAAAAATCCAGACCATGATAATCAGATTATCATATAATCAGATTTTAAAGTTTTGGCAGTTGTGAAAAATTGATTCATACACATTATAATGTAAAATAACTGAAGGAGGAGGCTGGGATACTGCAGCTGCACCTGTTCCAGTTCCTGTGCCAGATGCTGCCCCTACTGCTGGCGCCACAGGCTGAGAATGAACATGTTTCCTTTAGGAAACTCTTCTTCCCTTCTGGATAAAGAGTAGACATCGTGTGTTCTACAATAGTTTTGTTCATGGCACAGTTAAAGGATTTTGAGTCTTGTGGATCTACTGAATTGTTTAGTCATTGCTAGCACGATTTTTTAGACAATTTCAAAGTGGTTTTGTTATCAAGAGGTGGAAACTATCCAATTTGTTATTAATGCCTTATTCCAAAATGGATAACCAAATTCTCTTTAGGAGGGTTTACTTTATCAAAAAAAAATCAGCTCATAAGCACCGACTAATAGTTCTATTGAACGAACAAAGTAATTTCACTTCCTGGAAGCATTTCTTTTGGTAAAATTAGAGGTGGTAAAATGGTTATAAGAAAACAGTTATCCACCCATATTATCAATCAAAAAATGGATTGGATAATGAATCATTTATAAATAAATTTTACACTGCTCTATTCATGAACAATAAGCTAAAGGTCAATATTTTCCAAAAGAAACTACAGATATGCGTATGGACTTCGTTCAGTTAAAGAAACACATTCATTAAAGAGAAAAAAAATACAATAACAAGACTTAACTTGCAGCATGGCTTACTATTGCAACTTGAGTATCTGTATGAACTTCCTTTCCTTTCTTTGTACGAGTTGTAATAAACATGTCAGACTTTGATGGTTCCTCGTTGTTCTCTTTGGTTGCACGCTACAAATTACATCAAAGAAGATATAAAAAAAATATCACTTTGTTCCGACAAAGTACAAAAAGAAATAAAAGTAAGATTACAAAGTGTCGACTAAATATTACCAATGCCACACGCACTCTTGCAAAATTAATAGGTCCCATTCGATGCCTCCACTTTTATTTTTTCCTGTTTTCAGAATTTAATTGGCACNGCTTCTTTACTAGGTTCTGTTAGATACAACTTAGATCCCTTGTCAGAATATAGTGATGAATAAATATGGAAGGTAACTTTCATATAAAGCTAATCTCATTGTTAATAAGGATTTGATAATTGCTTCTAATTTACTTATACAATTTTCTTGTTGATGGTTCTTGAGAAATGTCATCTTAGAGAGGCTGTTCAAGAAAAAGAAACAGGACTAGATTCCTCAGGTACAAATCAAAATGTAGATCATCAATATAAGATCATATAGCCAATTTTACTGGTTTTTGTACTAGAAGATAACAATAGTACTATGAGCAAAATGCAGTTTTACAAGATGGATCAAACTGGAGCATGGGACAACGACAATTATTCTGTCTCGGACGTGCCCTATTGAAGAGGAGTAGAATTCTAGTACTAGATGAAGCCACTGCATCCATTGACAATGCAACAGATGCAATTCTACAGAAAATAATCAGACTAGAATTCGCGGACTGCACGGTTATAACAGTAGCTCATAGAATTCCAAGTTAAAACACACACACACACACAGAGAAACTCGAACATAATAACAAAGCTCATCGTTTTTATTTTATATACTCAACTACAGCCATATCTTCACTACAACAAAATCAAACTTGTAGAGACAATACAGACATCAAACAGCAAGAACAAGAAAAAAAAAGAAAGATAATAGCAGAAACAGTTATTAGCTGGTTGCAAAAATACCATGAAAATTAAGTCCTTCTGACGCTAAAAATCCTTTTCAAGCAATTCATAAAAGCCAAATAGCAAATACAATAACAAGACTTAACTTGCAGCATGACTTACTATTGCAACTTGAGTATCTGTATGAACTTCCTTCCCTTTCTTTGTACGAGTTGTAATAAACATTTCAGACTTTGATGGTTCCTCGTTGTTCTCTTTGGTTGCGCGCTACAAATTATATCAAAGAAGATATAAAAAAGATATCACTTTGTTCCGACAAAGTACAAAAAGAAATAAAAGTAAGATTACAAAGTGTCGACTAAATATTACCAATGCCACACGCACTCTTGCAAAATTAATAGGTCCATTCGATGCCTCCACTTTGCTTTTTCCTGTTTTCTGAATTCAATTGGCACATAGCCTAACAACAAAGGAAGCATATTAATTAATAAATCAAAAAGGAAAAAAATATATACTACAACAATAGGTAGAAAATGTAGAAATGCACGTTTTAATCTTACTTGGACATGTTCGTCATCCCAATACTCAATCAATTGACGGAACTGAACTTCAGGTATCTCATCGGGACGATTTTGTAGCATTTGTTCAATAGTAGCATTTTTATCAAAATATTTCTTCTTAATATTCATGTTGTGTCGCTTCCAAGCATCACGAAGACCAGTCATTACCCACTTCTCTCCTTCAGCTGGAATTAAGAACTTGGACTGTGCAAAACAATACACACACACACACGCACACACATACGCACACACACACACACACACACACACACACACACACACACACACATATATATATATATATATATATATATATATATATATATATATATATATATATCTTTTCTTATTAGGAAAAATACAAAAAATATATAATTGAAAAATTGATTATTCTTACATTGACATATTCCTACATTCGTCGCTTAATATCCTTTGACACAGCATGCCAACTAGTATTCACCAAGGGGATAAATCTTGGATTCCTTGCAATTGTTCCTAAAAAGTTGGTCAAATCAGACACTCTCTTGTCAGTTGGTCCAACTGCTTGTCCTTTATCAAATGTTACCTCCTCTCTTTCTTCAAAACTTCTTGCATGAATATTCTTACATGTTATTTTTCCTCGAACTCTTTTCTTCTCTGATGTCCCTAGAATGATATAACAAGCAAGACATAAGAAGAAAAAATCAAAATATGTAAAATAATTATAAGGTTTAAGACATACCACCTGCAGCACCATCGATGTTCATATCCTCATCTCCAATAAATTCATCGTCACCAACTTCATCTTGTGAAGCAAAATTATCCAATTCTATTTCACGCTCATCAATAATAGGAGAGGACATAAATCTAACTTCATTTTCTGGGTGATTATCAGGATGTTTTTCACCACCGACTTGTATCCCATATTTTTTTTAGAAACTGATTAACACTCGTCGACGGTAGGACTGAGTTTGTCTTTACCTTTTTTGCAATTTTGTAGCTCTTGAATATCAAGTTGTTTCTCTCCTTCACCTTGTGTTCTTCTAAGCATATGTAAAGTGTTAGGATCTACCTTTGCAGATGATTGGATCATGGATGTGGGCACAGGTAATTTACTCATTCCTTGCTTTTGAATGGGCTCCTCCAATTGAATTGACCTTTGTTTAATTTGCCCTTTACTTGCAATATTATGTGAAGTGTTCAGATCTTCCCTTGAAGACGATTGGATTGATTTGTACACCGGTAATCTATTCCTTCCTAACTTTTGAACTGACACATCGGATTGAGTTAACCTCTGTCGACTTTGTCCTTCTAATGTTGCAGGCATACAATTCTTCCTTTTAACTCCAAGTAATGCATGCTCTTTAGCAGCTTCATCGTTGCGATCACTTGCAAGCTTTTCTCTCTTAATCTGAAATTTTTTTGCTAGTTCAGCACTTGATCGGTATTGGAAATCGAAACCTATATTCTTCATTGGACTTTGAGCTTTGTTTGGATTCGGAACTTTTCTTTTAAGAGCTGCCGCTTGATTCATCCTACATACAAAAAAAAATTACTTTAGCCTAACAACTAGTAAGAATATATGCTTAGAAGAATTTAAATACTATAGTCAATTCCTCAGTCAACCCCCTCCAAATTCAACTCAAGACTGCAGCTAAAATCTAGATGAATTTCAGCCCAAAAGAGACTCACAACTTAACAAAAATCCTTTTCAAACTTTCAGCAGCAGAACTATTTCACCTAAGCAGCTAAAACAGTGCCGAATTTACACGCAAAATACTGCTCAAAGATGCAGAAAATATAGCTGAAACTATGGAGAAACAGTGCAGAAAAACAACAGTCCAATTTAGCAGAGAAAATAGCGGCTCAAACATCAATTGTAACCCAAAAAGAATGGCGTTCCTTTTCCATTAATCAAAAAGTAGCTAATCAAGTAAGTAGCTAAAAAAATTTAACAGAAACAAAATGTATCACATTAGCAAAGATAATAGCTGCTCAAATAGGAGAGTGAAACGTATCACATTAGCAGAAAAAATATAGCTGCTCAAACATCCACTTTACTCCAAAAGAACGAAGTTCCTTTTCTACTAATCAAGTAAGTAGCTAAACGAAATTAAGCAGAAGCAAGATGTATGTATTATATTAGCAGACATAATAGTTGCTCATACAGGAGAAGCAAAATGTATCATATTAACAGAGGTAATATAGCTGCTCAACATCACCTTTACCCCAAACGGAATGAAGTTTCTTCTCCAATAACGAAGCAAGTAGCTAAACAAAATTAACATGGACATATCTTGAATACAATTAACTCTAAAGATAGCTAGTACTACTATACTAAATTTCAATTACTTGCACAGTATAGAAATCACACTCAAAACTCCACACCGTCCTTCTAAATGAAATGGCATCAGAGATAAATCACTGCTATGTGGGAACTCAGAGCACGCCATCAAGGATGGAAATAAGACCTTGTTTAAGTCTTATTAGTGTCTAGATAAGTTCTCAATGAAGCAAGTAAAACTGGCCTTTTACCATTTTCTTATTGATAATATTCATCCAAATGTATTTATGCTTAGCTACTCCGGAAATTTCCCCAAGTTTTCAAACAATAGAAGTCAATTTTTTAAAGCCAGTCAATGTGATATAATTATAGAGAAGCAAGAAACTTTAACATCTCATTCTGTTCATGGTTTATCGGTTTGAATGTACTTTAGAATATATATTTTTCTCTATACGTTCATTCTGTAGCACAAACCGGTTGAAATGTGACGTAAATATATTGACAAGGCCATTCTCTCAAAGCAGAGCTTGAAGAGCTAAAACTGTACGCAAGGTCTACCTGTACTGGTAGAACAGTCATTTAGTTATCTACATGTACTGGTAGAGAGCAGACAACAGTAGGTACCAGTTAAATAGTCGAAGTTTGGACAAACTAATCCGACCCCATCATTAAAAAAATCAATAGTTATCCCTTTTTGCTTGGAGCACTACAATCTAACCAATGAGAGCAGTTCTCTCAGTTGAAATTGACTAAGAATGGACAAACTTCTTCTAAGCATCTTTGGGAAGAAACTGGAAACAGAGGTATTTCCTGTCTCTAGACAATCATACAAAAATCAACAAATCTGCTTTTCCCATTCGAAATATAATGCAGTATGTGCCGAATGAAAAAGAAAGAAAAGAATTCCTAGCATACTAGGCAGATACCAAGTAATGTAATTTTATCTACAGTACTAAGTCTTACATGAACCATACTACAATCAGATACCTGTCAATATCTCTTGGTTCCTCAAAATTGGTTAGTCCAATATCTTCTATGTGTACCACCTGATAATAATAAAAAACAAATATGTATATACGTTAAAACTTGCTCAAATACTCCAGGTAATAGGATAATACAAATTTCGAAGCATAATTTCTACTTACTCACGTTCACTTCTCTATTCAAAACTAGAGGAAATTCTCGATCCACATATGAATAATATGGTTCCTTAGAAGGGACACATTGAATAACCAATCAAGTAATTTCTAGTGATACCAAAAGGGACACATTAAAAATACATGAGCAATAAGATATATGTGCACATCAAAGAAATCGATAAGCAAAAAAATATTCAATATTGAACTTGACGAAATAGACAACATCAATTTAAAACTAAAGCAACAGTCTTTAATGTGTTTCTAGCTATTAATAAAAAAATGGCTAAGCTATTTTCTATTTGAATTAGAAAAAAAACTCATCATGTGTCTTCAAAATCAAACTCTTTATCCGATTCAATTTCAAGTTGTTGTGCTAGAAATCCTTCTGGAGGTACATCAAGAATGGTTGCTGGAGCATCACTCCTTACTAAGGCAACTTCACCATTATCCTCCGGTATAGATGGGCCAGCCAAATATTCAGATGGCTCATTTTCATAACACTGTGGGGCATTAGATTCAAGTTCATCACTTATGCTAAACAAGTCTCTCCGGACAGTCTTCATGACATAATATCTATCTTGATCATATGGATATTGCACATAGAAGCATTGGTGTACTTGAGATACTAGGACAAAAGGCTCGTTCTGATAACATTTACATTTCTTGTTGAAGTAGACATAAGTAAGGCCATAAATATCTTCTTCAACCTCATACCAGTCGCATTTAAATAAGACAACCCTAAAATGGTCATAATAGTCTAACTCAACTATATCAACTATTCTACCATAATAAGTCAAATTCGCGTCAACTGGATTTTTATCTTTTGAGCTTGCAAAACTTGTAGTTTGGGCGACTAATGTAACACCACTATTTTGTGTTTTACGTCTTGCATCACGCTGCCTCACATGGAATCTATATCCATTAATGAAATACCTAGAATATCTTTTAGCAATTGAATTTGGTCCGAAGGATAATTGCTTTATAAGATCAGGCACATCCTCTTTCAAAGAACGATTTTCAAACCATTGAGAGAAGTTTTGACTATGCTTCTTGGCCTTGCTCCATTTAGATCCTCGTCTCTGATTACTAACCTCAACCTCATATTCTCTACACAACAAGTATTTTTATTTGTTAGTAAAATGATAAATAAAGTAATTTAATAACAATCTACATAAATAAATGCTATAAGTGATTAAATAACCTTATATATTCTTGAACCTCATCACAATTGTTCAATAAGTATATATGTGCCTGATTTAGTGACATGTCATCTAAAACAATTGGATCAATCTTTTTCGCTCCTAAAGGACAACCTGTATTAGGGAACAAACTAGAAGATTGTGCATTAATTGAATCATATTCATCATTGTTTCGGGATCGTCGATTAAATCGAGTCTTTACACCTCCATGTAAGTACCTAGAGCATAAAGTCAAACACTCTTCAACCACATATGTCTCAGCAATAGATCCTTCTGATTAATTTCTGTTGCGAACATATGATTTTAATGTACACATATACCTTTCAGGAGGATACATCCATCGATTTTGAATCCCAACCTTACCTCATTTTCCAAATGAATAGGCAAATGAATCATTATATCAAAAAAAGTTGGAGGAAAAATTCTTTCCAATTGATTCATTGTTTCTCTAATCTCTACTTCCAAGCAATCTAGCTCTTCCATTGTGATAACTTTTTGACATAAACGGCGAAAGAAAGAACTGAGACGAATCAAATGGATAGCAACATGATCAGGAAGAATGCTTTTAACTGGTATTAGCAACAAGTAATGTAACATGAAGTGGGCATCATGGGTTTTATAACCGGATAATTTTCTTTCATCTAGCTGAACACACCTGGATATGTTGGAAGCACTACCATCAGGTAGCTTTGCTGTCTTTAAAACACCACAGAAAACTCATTTCTCACCATTGGTCATTGAGAAGCATACTTTTGAAAACTTTGTTCTCTTGCCATCCTTGGTATCCTTTGGTTGAAGGTTCTTCCTAATGCCCATCTCTTTCAGATCTTTACGAGCATTTGTATGATCCTTTGTCTTGCCAGGAATGTCCAAAATAGTTCCAATTATATTATCCACTATATTTTTCTCTATATGCATTACGTCAAGGTTATGACGTAACGAGTTGTGCTGCCAATAAGGTAATTCAAAAAAAATTGACCTTTTTTTCCAAGAACCATCATTTGTTCTCTTTCGCTTCTTCCCAAACACATTGTTAAAATTCTGTAAGCTATTAAGCACATTTGTTCCCTTTAATAAAGGCGGAGGAGGCCTAAATTCTATTTTTCCATTGAAGACCTTTTATTAGATCTCCAAGGATGATCCATAGGCAAAAAAACACGATGATCCATATAACACATTTTTCGACTATGTTTAAGATAACGAGAATTAGTGCCATAATTACAACAAGGGCAAGCCAACTTTCCCTTTGTACTCCAACCGGATAACATAGCATATGCAGGAAAGTCACTGATTGTCCATAAAAGAGCTGTTCGCATTTGAAAGGTTTGATCTCTTGAAGCATCATATGTTTCTATCCCGGACTCCCACAAAACATTTAAATCTTCTATTAATGGTTGTAAATAAACGTCAATGTTATTTCCAGGTGATCGTGGCCCAGGTATAAGCAAAGAAAGCATACAGTACTCTGGCTTCATGCACATCCAAGGAGGCAAATTATACACCATTAAAATAACTGGCCATATGCTATGAGATATGTTCATGGTCCGAAATGGATTGAACCCGTCACTTGCTAAGCCAAGTCTCAAATTGCGAGAATTCCTTGCAAATTCTGAATGCAAGCTATCAAAGTCTTTCCATGCTTGCCCATCAGCAGATGCCTTAACTTTCCATCTTTAGAACGCCCCTCGTCATGCCACCTCAATGTATCTGCAGTCTTTGAGCATATAAATAGCCTTTTAAGTCTAGGAATTAATGGAAAGTGTCTCAAAATTTTCACTGGAACACGATAGCCTTTTTTGGAAGCCTCAAGCTCGCTATCTACTTCATCGCTATCTACTTCAGGATATTTAATATATCGAGAAGCTCCACATACATGAAAATATTCATCATCCTTATGGTCATTCCTAAATAGCATGCAATCATTGGGACATGCATCAATTTTTTCATAATCAAGACCGAGATCCTTTACCATAGATTTGGCTTTATTGTAGGATATAGGAATGTTCAAGTTAGGCATCGCCTCTTTTAATAGCTCTAAAAGAGAAGTGAAAGACGCATTGCTCCATCCATGTAGACACTTCAACAAATACAGACGGATTGTAAAAGATAATCTAGAGAATCCTTTACAACCCGGATATAGTTCTTGGCTTGCCTCGTCAACTAAGTTATAAAATTTTTTGGCATCTTCATTTGGGCCTTCATACACTCCACCAGCATGTGCAACATTTCTAAATTGATCATTCAACAACCCATCAATATCATCGTAAGAGTAAACATTATCATCCATGTCACAATTAACATTCATCGAAATTTCCTTTTCCCCATGATTAATCCATCTTGTATAACCTTGAACAAACTCATAACATATTAGATGGTCATACACTACATTCCTTCGAGTCCAACGAATATTACAACACTTTGCACATGGGCATTGAATTTCTTCGCCTTGAGGATCTCCATAAGAGTAAGCAAAATCTAAGAAAGATTGAACACCCTCGATATAGTCTTTGCTATACCTTGGTAAATCCATCCACTCCTTGGATGGAACATTTGAATTCCTAAAAAATAAAATTTATTAGATCTTCAAATATATAATCATTTAAGCATTAATTATATGGTAAAACTAAATCCTAAATGTCAAGAATAAATCTGTAAAATCATGTGTTGTAAAATAATAGGACTTTCTTACCTAGTCATGAAACTTAAGCTAAGCCAAATACAACTTTAAGTCCACCGCAAATCTTCCCGAGCGTGACTTATCTTCTTGGATAAAAAAAGTAAAATTAGGATCCACAAAACAAAGACAGAAAGTAATAAAATTCTAAACCAAGTTTTTCATGAAGATAATATAATAGTTCTGCGCACCAAAAAGTTTCATGTGCACTTTGGCAAGTATAGTGACACCTAAAAGGTATTTGGTTCGTACAAATATTATATAATTAAAAGAAGTTAAGATATAAAAATCTAACTAGCTATTTCTGATTTCTTCAACTCAAAAGAAGAAACTCCAGAACTAGTCATGTTTTAAAATTACTAAAAGGTAACTTTGATAGAACAATTTACCACATTACATTTTGACAGAACAATTTGCAACCATAAATAACTAAGATCTATGAACTCTTGTACTTAAAAAATAATCATTTTACCGAAAAAATTTAGTTCATTTCCACAATCAAATTGCCAGGGGGCAATCACTGCATCCTAAGAATATCAACCATTCTGCATCTAATAACTACCAACCAAATTGCTGGGATTAAGGAAGGAAAACATATCAACTACCAGAAATAAGGATATTATTCAGGAACAAACAAACCCACCCATCAAAAGCCTGGTTTCCATTGGGTTGGCTGTGGAAAACACAACGCTAACACAACCCACATATGTATCCTAGATCATGCATACTCCAAATTAGAATTCAGAATGTAAGTTTTACCAAATTACTCAAACACAACGCTAACTCTTATCCAATATACTTTTTATTCATATGAGCTAATATTAACCTTCTCACAACAAAATCTTAAGCTTCCCAGTGAGAGATACATATATTTTACAAAACAATCACAAAATAACAAGATATTACATAATATCGAAATGGAACAGGTTCTAAGCTTGAATATAGCCACCATAGCAGTTGACATGGAAAGCTTAAAATCAATCGAGTCGCACATAATCGAAGGAAATTAAAGCAATAAAAAAGATATATTGTTGACCAAGTCAATTTGCAACAAAAAAAAGGTATCTACACATACCTAAATTGAAGAACATACAAAATCTTAGCTTGCCAAAAACGATGAATGTTTGGATGTCATTCTTTAGTTTGGTGTTTATTTGTGTCTCCCTTTTATATTTGAATTTTTCACTGAAAATTAGCAAAGAATAAGCTTCACAACTGGTTTTACATTTTTGGTTCAAAATTTCAGATCAAAGAATCTATTATGCTATTTGTGTAGTATCTAAAAATTTGATCACATGTTGTTTCTCTTTTCATGATGTCATTGTTTTTGGTCCACATTGATATCCCGAATTTTCTTGATGCGGAATTATATCTAACCAAGTCAACTAAAAGTGAAAACTTTGGTTGACAATCCAATACCAAATTAGTGTAGTTCACTCAAGGTTGTTAAATTGATACTTTGATCAAAACGGTACATCTAAAACTTCTTTTCATATATGTTGGCTGCAAATTTACCAATACTCATCAGAATTACCAGATTGATCCCTTGTTGTAAAATTAAAGGATCATAAGTGTTGTGAAGAGCGTGAAGCGAGGAAAAGCGACAACCCCCATTTCGCTTAAAGCGAGAAGCGAGAAGCAAAGCTCTCGCTTTTTTTAAGTGAAGCGGAATTTTAAAAAAAAATATTAAAATAAATTCTGTTAAGAGGAAGGGGAGTATACCATTCTGTTAAAAACTGGACAGCATAAAAACAGTGAAAGAAGAACTGGACAGCATTTCAATGAAGAGGAGAAAACTGAGAAAGAAGAATCGAAGGGAAAAAAATTCGCCAGCATTTCGCTGCTATTTGGACGCTGAAATAGTGAAAGAAGAAGAAGAAGAAGAAGAAGAAGTAGTAGTAGTAGTAGAAATAGAAATCACATACCTGTTGCTGCTGGTAGTATGTTAAGTTGAAAGTGTACAAGACTTGGAACCCTGGTCGCCTCTTTCTCTCTATTGCTGCTGGTTGTGTTCTTTAATAAAAGAACACCTTTCTTTTTTAATTAAATAGATTGGAAGGTGTTTAAAATAGAGAAGCGCTCGCTTCGGACGCCTCACTTCTCTTCGTCGCTTCTTGCTTTTCAGTGCGAAGCGCACGCTTTTGCCTACCTGAGTCGCTTCATATAGCAAAAGCGGTCATAGGGTCGCCTCGCTTCGCTTCTCGCTTTAAGCGAGGAAACGACTGCTTTTCACAACACTGAGGATCATATTCTTATTATGTTTGAAGGAATCATTTGCAACGTTTGATGCATGCCAACAATATGTAATGGTTATTATCAGTTAAACAATACTGCATATTTGGAAAATCTAAGACTGTTTTAATACTTTGGAGATAAGCATCACTGCAGGATAATAGAAACAATAAATCAAGGAAAAACTGAATTTGAAACTAAAAGCTAACCATCAATTGAATGAAAGAGCCAGTTCAATCTATTTAAGACATGACGGGTCCAATGAACAATCTATTGAACACGTTATACGCTAAGAAACTTTTGTGATGAATTAACATTGGCATTTCAGAGCTCACTCATGCAGTTGCGGGGTAAGAAAGAACCTATGATATTCACTAGTTTAGCTAAGTATATTTGAAGCTAGAAGGCTACTGAACTTTCTCAGTATTGGAACCATGCTTTACTGTTCCAGTAACAGTTATCTCAAGTCATGCCATAACCCTGGATTGAACAATAATGATGAACAGTTCTGGAATGTAAAGGCAAAATATACAAATATAACCTCGGGGACCACTTAATTATTGATGATAAATCATCTGACTTATCACAATAAAGGAAGATATAAATTCTTTGCTAACCTATGTCGCACTTAACACATTTTAATTTCTCTTCTGTTTAGGAAAAAAATGAAAAAGAAGTTAGCAGATCAAGGGCACAAGCAATGTGCTACTCTACAAGACTTTTGTGCTATTCAAAACAAGAGCTTCTCTATCGTACATTGTTTAGATGACATTTAATTTACAGTTGATGTTTCAGGGTCAGTACCTGCGCAAAACTACAGAACTCATCAATGCATTTTGTGAAATGAATCCAGTTTCAGGCCATTTATAGGACTGCTGAGAAGTTGCAGGAACAATGTATTCCCAATAGACATTACCACCTTGTCGGCACTAATTTTCTTGTAACAACAACAGTGTCACCTACAACAATAATCCCATAACCAAGAAAGAGAGCCCATAAACTTGAAATGTTGGTAGTCATTATTGTCTAAAATATTTTCGTAAGTTTGTTTTTAAACTTATTGTTTTTTTAATTCTATGGTTTCCCCTGATGTTTACAGATTCTACTTTTATTACAAAAGTTGAATCTACTAAGAAGTCAGTTGTTTCTAAATTGGTCGACAAATGATCGGGCACTAACATGGAAACTAGAAGTGCAGCACATCAGTCATATTTTACTAACAAACTCAACTGCTGAGTAGGGTTTATGAATCTGCAACAGAGTTTGCAATATTTTGTAACTCCAGAACAAAAAGATTTCATAAACTTATTATTACAACCCCTACACCTTCCTCCGCTCCCCCCCCCCCCCCCCTCCAATATATCACTAAGAATCTCAAATATTCAAAAGAATGAATGTTGTACCAGACACTTCTGGTATTTTGAGGCGCGACTGACATGGTAAAAGAACAAATCAGCCTAAGACGTATTGTACGTCAGATTAATCAACAGGAATATGACAATCAAAAGATAACAAAGCTGATTTGTAGAATTAGGCGGCTCACAAATCTGCTAGGATTTTAAAATAAATCACTAATCTTGGAGACTAGAAGAGGAATAATTAATTTATAGTTCATTCTTTTCTGGAATAAGTATCAAATTAGATATGAAACTACAGCAATCAGAGACCATAAGATGGTAAAATATTGAAATAGAACAGCACCAACCTGAGATTGGAAGAATTCCCGTTTCTCTAGCTTTATAAATTTCTTCAATCTGGAACGAGGAGGGCGAGAAGATGCAAAACAGTACCTAAGAGAAAGGGGAAACGGAATTCTTCCTTTGAGACGATACTTTGAAAACAAAAACACTACCCAAAGTAGGGTGAGAAGGTGCAGAAATTAAGAGTACCTAATCTTCCCGGGGCAGAAATTAACAGTACCTAATCCTGAAGATTCAGTATCCACAATTGAAGCCAGAAACCCTAACTAATGTATCCACAGAGATGTTAGCGATGGAGAGAGATCTTTTTGTCCTTTTGAAATTGAAAAAATAATATTTTACCTAGAGTATATCGGAGGGAACATTATATGTTTTGGAGGGAATATTATATTTTAGCCAAATATTTTGTTGGACTTTTAGAGCACATTTATAAAGTGTTGCTTTTTCAATTATAATAAGAGCACGCTTAAAAAGAGTGTCACATACTCAAGTAAATGTTGCCAATTATTTTATAATTTAGCAACGTTTAATAAGTGTGGCCTAATAAATTAAAGAGCATATTTTACAAGCGTAGCCAAATTTTCAGTAGCCAAAAGCTCCATACAAAGGCCACCCCTTAAAAGTGTACCCAAATATATTTTTGGGCACACTTTTAAGGCGTTGTCTAAAACTAGTGTGGCGTTAGACCATAATTATTATAGTGATTCCAAGAAAGTTAAAAAAAGTAGCTCATAGTTTAGCTAAATTTTCTATTTCTTTGTTGAAGGACATCTCCTCGGAGAAGTTTTTCCCAACTTGGGTTGTCCAGGATGCAAAGAGTACATTTGAACTTTGTTGTTCGTTGATGCAGTAATATGAAGTCTTTGTTTTGGAGAAAAAAAAAAGTAGCTCATTTTACTCCAAAAAGTAATTGCTCAGCTAGATGTGTCAAAATATTGATATACAATAATAAATTTAAGGCGGGCCCCACATTGACAAAATAGCCTTCAAAAATACAACTAGATGTGTGAGACGATAAATTAAACGGAAAAGGTCATGATATATTCTTTTATTATTAGAAATTATTCAAAATTACACTGTGTTATATTATTGGATCAAAAGAACCCCTACCGTCTTACTATTCAAACATATATACCCTTAACTTGACGGACTGAACATT